TAAAAAGGCAGCTTGAAATTATGGTGGTATAAATAATAAATAAACCTGCCTCTCATCCAGCCCCCACCCCCTCTATCCCCCCCCCTACACACACACACACACACACACGACAGTGGGCGACATCTGTTGGCCGACCATAGCATTTCCCCCAGCTGTTTCGAAACTTCAGACTCAAGGCAATTCGACCCCTCACTGTGGCTGGGTAGTGGACACGACTTTGGTGCACGATAGTACAGTACAAGTACACACAGTACTTGTTCATATTCTCAGTTTACACGCACAGTATACCATGTGAATCTTTAATCTCCACATACTGCTATTAAGATGGCTATTAACCAAAGTTAGCATGTGGATAGACAGATAATACTGCTATTAAGATGGCTATTAACCAAAGTTAGCATGTGGATAGACATGTAATACTGCTATTATGATGGCTATGAACCTAAGCTAATATGTGGATATATGAATAAAATCGGTATATTGTTGTTGCAGTGCGGGGTACTTATCCACCTGTACTGGGACCTTGATTTTGTATGAATTTATAGAGTAAAAACCATACGTACATACATACATTTTGTAGATTTTCTCATAAAAAATAAATATATCGTAATGTACCAAATAAAAATCTTTGTTTGGCATATGCAATAAATTCTGATTATCTACATGACATTACGTGTAATTTATTCAGAATGTATTCATCATGCAGAACCTCTACCTATGGGAATATGTCAACCTGTCGTTTGTATCATGAGTTCTGAGTGGCTGGTCACCACAAAGGAAGCGCTGAATCTGTATCGAGAGTTCTGAGTGGCTGGGCACCACAAACGAAGCGCTGAATCAGGAGTCGCGCTTGGGGCCACATTTTTCTGAACCATCTGTGATTTTTGTTGATCAGCTGAATAAAAAACGTTTCCCATTATTTCCTGCAGAAGCAACTCAGTTTTTCTGTGAGTGAGCATTTACATGTAATATCCGGTCCTTATCATTACAAGAGCGTCGGTTAGATAGAAGTTTCGATCGGGTGGTTCAGTGTCTGGGAGTCGAGCTCTCAGTTGTCACTTTGGAAGGTATCAGTACTTTCTTATGGTGTCAAATTAAGCAAAACAATTATGGCCACGCCAGCCATCCGATTAAGTGTTATTACTAAGGTTCGCAAGTGACGTTCTATACCATGTGCTTCAACACCACAAGAGCGTATGTTCGTACTGGAGATGGTTCGGTGTGTGGTGGAGATGTGGATGAACTTTAGACCAGGGACAGCCAGACGTGGAGGGAAGGAGCCGGCCAGTAGTGACACGGTCGAGGCGATTAGTGGATGTGTGACGGAAGATAACGTTTGCAAAATGCTCCTAATTTAATACATCCAGCTGTCAAGGATTATAAATTACAGACGCCATCATGTGTGTGTTGGTGTTGAAAAATATAAGGTATGTCGATGTGTATATTTCCCTTACAAATTTTTTCTCTCCAATCGACGTCAATTCGGTAGCCCATTAATTGTATAGAAATGTTGTTGCCTGAGAGTTAATTATACTGAATGATCTTGACAGCTTCACTGGGGTAGAAATCCATTTCAACGTGATTTGGTTGTAGGAGTTTAAGGTTAGGTACCAGAACAAGGCGACTACCCACGCTGATTAACCCGACCTTCTCCCCTAGACCATTATCCGGTTTAGCATTTATACGGAGTCCTTTAACACGGCTTTAGAGGATTATGAACATTAGATTAACACCTAATCGTGTCCATAATCAAACCTTATAAGTGGTTGTTCCCAGTCGGCGTAATAGAGATGTCTCAACTGTGTACATTATGCCTTCAGTCTTCATTGGTGTATTCATAAGTGGTCTAAGTGGTCTATGATTGTCGGGAACAAAATGTAAACAGCACTTTTAGGCTAAAACGTATGTAACAATATAAGCAACTAACCACTCAGCACCGCCAAACTCAGCTCGACATTAGCCATCACGTGAAGATTAGGCACCCAATCAGATTTTACTTGTTATACACCGATGTGCCACTTTTGGTGGGGGAGGGGGGTGTTAGGGTAGTTAATCTTCAGGTGATATAAGATGGGCTGCTGCCATATCTTCGTGATTTCATAATTTTATCTTGTTTAAACCAAACACGATTTCTATGAGCGTTTTAAATCCCAGTGTAAGAGGCGGTGTTACCTTGTTCACCTGACAGTCAAATATTGTAGCCAGGAACAATCAGATCCATCTAGAGTACATCAGTTGGTCACTGTGGAGGAATGGTGGTGGTGGGGAACTGTGTGTGGTGGTGGCGGGAGGTAACTCACTTGCCAACCTCCAATCACCAGTGTAAAGGTGATCTTTTCGATAAGTAGAATAATATACTTTTGTGCTATAAATTATTACATAGTCAAGTGAAGTATAATGGTCAAATAAATAGTTTACTTTCCATTATCACCGTATTTACTGTGTTGGGAAGAAAATATTTGTGACCTTCGCAAGATACTCACTGATATTTAGGGAAATGAAGAAGAGAAATTAAAGAATATCACCATCAGAAAAGAGGATGTTCTTAAGAAAAATAAATTAAAGGAGACAAAATCCCCAGGCCCGGATGAAATTTTCCCTCGAGTTTTGAAAGAGTGTAAGGAACAGATTAGCGGACCTCTGGTAAAATTATTTACAAAATCATTAGACACGGGAGTTGTGCCAGACTTGTGGAAACAGGCAAATGTAGTACTCTTATTCAAAAAGGGTGACAGAGCATCAGCGTCAAATTACCGGTCGATTAGTTTGACGTCAGTAGTGGGGAAATTTCTTGAATCAATTATAGCAAATAACATCCGATCGCATTTAGAGATTTTAATTCTTGTCGCCATGCAATATATACAATAAAAAACTATTATTGGTTAATAAAATTTTAATTTCACAGGTATTAACAGAAAATACTACTCCAGGGAGGATGAGGACCATAACCTGGTGTACAGATGACGAGGCAACATCAAGATGGTCAAGAGAAACGATCAAGAGTACAGTAAAGGATGAACATTCTCTAAATAACTCAGTCTACCAAACATGACAGGAAGTTGCATTGTATATATGTAAGTGTTGGTTAAATACGTCCACATAAATGCTAAAACATATTATAACAGTTTGTTGAAATCGTATCTACTGACTACTGTAGAGATTCTGTAGCACCGTAAGAGTGAGGGAAGGACATGCGGTGATGTGGAGGAATGAGGAAAGGACATGAAGTGTTGTGTAGGAGTGAGGGAAGGACTTGCAGTGTGGTGTAGGAATAAGGGATGGACTTAAA